TACCAGTGTTGTACCTCTCAAACCCGATATGCATGGTAGATAGAGTTTGTATTTGCTGTAATTGAACTGATAAATCACTAATGAAAAACACTATCGCTATGGATTTTTTCAAACAAGCAGAGACAGGGAAATGGTCGTTACTAGACTATTTACACTATAGAAGAAAACAAGACGATTTTTCATATAACAAAGCACATGAGCACTCAGAATACAGAATAGCACTGGAAAGAATGTCCGAAAATAACGCGTTTGCCAAAAAATGGTTAAAAAGATTTGATGTTAAGTGTATATTACCTTCTTTTATTACTTGAGATTTGGGCAATTTCATGTGTTTAAGGAATAGAATACGTTCCGATCATCAAGACAATAACGTGACGTATTGACAACCCCGAAGTAGCTGGCTGACTGAGGTTGGCTAGTGATAGTGGACTGAGGTTCCCTTGGGCGCTCTTACATGTTATTGCAAAATGAAAATAGTGCTAGAAAGAGACATTAACGTGTTTGTTCTTTTAATACTTAGTATGAAAAGTCCTTTGAGGGTGTAAATATATTTTGGAGAACTGTTAACGAAGAAATAGTCAAATCTAAAATTAGGAAAGAACAGGTTTGTAATCTAGATGAATTAGTATTTTATTTATATCCAAACTGATAAATTTTGAGTCCTTGTTATGAATAGAATAAATATTACTTGACTGTGGTCACCAATGTGAATAAGCAAATGGGTGCGTACGTAAGTGCTACCACCAGTCGTTTTACAAAACGACTTTTGGAAAATGCAAAAGAAAGCCAATCAAAACGCGTGGCAAAAGTTAGTGCTGTTTATTTAAATCTATTTAGAATTTATTTGATTTTTTATTTAACTTTACAAATTTATTTATAGGTAGACGGGAATTTTAGCGAAATCAAGAAAAAGTAAACTCAATATATTCGCGATTGTTCATATATTTTGTCATTAGTAGTCTTGTTATTTATATATTTTTTAAAGAAAAACTATAAAATTAAATCTAAATACAGTACTAAAGCTCAAAATTTTCAGTGTTTCCTAGTATAAGCATCTAATTCAGTAGGACCATGAGAAATGAACCAATCAGAAAATCTATACTAATTAAAATGATCGAATATGCGTAATGTTTCAAAGTAATAAAATCTTACGTTAGGATTAGGGGTCATGACCAAAGGAGGGCATATATTATACATGAATTTTTTTGTTAACACTGTACGTAGATAGTAATTTACAAGAAAATTTTGAGGTTTTAGGTTTTCATGTTACACCTGATCCTGAGACCGTATTGGTGTCGCTTATTAAAAGAGATCTGATCGATGAGGTCCTACTGGAGTAGCTTACTGATGTGTGTTTATATGGGTATAAAAAAAAAAGCAATCTGCTACAAGCATTGACGTACGTGTTATAAATCTTATAAAAACTATTGATTATCACAGATTGTCAAAGGTCGTAACAAAAGGACTGTAAATAAAAGAGTTTTCTTAGGCCATTGATTAACGGTATGACTTAAAATACCCAAATAATTCCTGTAATCGTAATCTTAAAATTTAGCATATCTAGTTTTATGCTTTAACGTTACAGTGCAAAATTCAACATGCCATTTCATCTCAAAATGAAATAGGTGGGTAGATTTGTACATAGAATTACTGGTAAAATAATCTGGTGAAATAATTAACCATTATAATTAAATCTGGATATTGATCAAGTACTAGATTTACAATAAAATTATACATTTATTACTAGTAAATATATAAAAAGAAAAAAAGATAGCAAAGATGAGAACTATTTTGTAAATTTTTTTTTAAATAATATAATCTACAAACATTATTTACTGAAATAAAAATAAATCTAGTATTTATTTAATTTTTTTAATAAATCAATTGCCCTACCATTCTTACTATTGGCTGCCAATTTTAAATATTTCAACCCAAGCCCTTCATCTTTGTTCACTTTAAGTTTTCCATTCATAAAAATATCTCCCAAATAGTACATCGCATCTGAATTTTTATTTTCAGCAGCTAATTTTAAATAATATAAAATTTCCTTGCGAGTTTTAACTTTTGAATCCTCATTATCTTCTTTTTTAGAAAGTAGCATAACTGCATATCGATATTGTGATTCAGGATGATTATCGTCAGCAGCTTCTTTAAAAAGTTGCCTTGCCTTATCCACATCCTTAGGTACAACATATCCGTTGGAGTAATAATATCCTTGCCAGAATTTTGCTAATGGAAGAACAGAATTTTGTTCGAAACTTTTCCAAGCACCTTGATGGTCGCCATTACGATGCATCTTTATTCCATCTTCAATAGGTACTATAATATCATCTTCATCAATGATGTCAGGATCATCAAATTCTGGAAACAAAGATTCTGCAGAAGCTTGATTTTTCTTTCCATCGAAATCTAATTCTTTATCATCTAAAAGTAATGGTGAATTAAGAGGAATTGGGTATTTATCAGCTAATTCTTCAATTTTATTGTTTAGCTCCGTAATAGATATTCGTAAATTTGCACTATGAATCCATGCTATTTACCAATTATGCAGAAAATAAATTAAAAATTAGCATAAAAAATATATGGTATAGCGAGGTAATGGATGTTTCGCATCTAATAACGGGAAGGGTAATAAAAATATTGAAGTTACCTTTACTGATTATACTAATAAATTCTAACTGGATTTTTTTATCGTTAGGACATTGAAACTTTCCTTCAGAAACATCTTCCCTTTTACCACTCAAAACATGTTCTATTATTTGTGGCATTTTCCAACCTTCGTAAGGCATTTTTTCATAACAAAGTTCCCACATAAGCATACCGAAACTAATTACGAAAATTTTGAAAAAAATTTAAGAGAATAAGAATATAACTCAAAATAATTATAAGATTAAATAAAAAAAAAACTTAAAAGAACGAGAAAATAACTCAAAATAATTATAAGATTAAATAATAAATACCTGAACATTTCACAATTAAATGTATATACTTTTTCGTTTCCACGTTTAATTAAATCTTTATATTTTTCCATTAGTTCAGGTGCCATCCAACTAATTATGTTTGTATATAAATCTTTCAAGTTAGTAGAATGATCTGCATCTGCTTTACGTGCGCATTTGAAATTTCCAATTTTTATGTTCAAGTTATGTAATACCTATAATTTAATGTAATATTAGTAATCGTCATTTAAAACATAATAAATTTTCGGTTAATATAATGCCGATAATTTTGGTCTATATTGGAAAGAAAAAGTCCTTTAAAATTCCCTTATATTATTTTATCGAAAAAACCTTTGAATTCAAACATAGTTTCAAAAATTTTCAAATAAAATAGGTCTAAATTTTAGCTTAAAATTATTCCATTAAATTATACTTACAAAAACATTTTCACATCTAAGATCATGATGAAAGATATTTACGGTACGTAAAAAAGAAATACCACGGCATATATCTCTAATAACTTGTATTTTCCTAGTCCAGGGAATATCATATTTATTATAAAGCTCTCTCAAATTTCCATACTCAGCCCATGCAGTAACCATAGTTTGACGGTTATCGAGAGTCGTGAGACCATAAAAACGGAGAATATGCGGTGATTGACCTAATAAACCAAGGATTGCCAATTCAGTTTCCTGATATTTGGATTCGGGTTTACACGCAACTTCAACGCCTAACGGTCTATAAATCTTCCTAACGACATTGCCACGTACTTTATCAGCTTTTGAAACTGGTGGATTATCTAAATCTTTTTCATTAATCTTGGTCGCATGAACTTGACTTGCTTGATTAGTAATTTGAGCTTTTATAAAGCTAACATCTTGAGCTATCGCTTGAACATTATCGCCAAGGGTGCTTAAAAGCTAAATGATCATAGTAAAAAAAAAAAAAAATTTTAACATCAAAATAAGGTTATGATATTCTCAAATCATTATACTTACTTGATTAACTTCGTCTAGTGCTTTATCAACTTTCTGAGCATCCTTTTCTCTGTTAATTGCATTATAAGTATCGATGGCAAAGTGTAGGTCTTTCATACAATCTTCAAATTCATCAGTTAATTTTTCATATTTTAATTTAACATCTTTTGCATTCATAAATCTTTTATAACCTTTAAGCTTTGATACATCCTTAGAAAAATCTTTGATATTTATTAAAATATTTTCAAATCTTTTAAAAGCTACATAATATGATTTTCTGCGAAACTCTCCCTCTTCATCATTCATATTTCTTACTATCATATCCATAGAACACTCTGCAGCTTTTACTCGATTAGTCATAATCAAGCAAATTTCTTTGTTACATTCTGCATTCTCATAAATTTGATAAATTTCACCGACTAGAAGTTTCACTGCTCCGATTAAAGGAATATATATATTCACAATATCAGTAATGGTATTAAAAGCTGTTGCACTTGTGCTAAAAGCTGCTGTATAGTTGCTTGTAGGATCTATTTTATTATGTGCCATGATCGAGAGTAAGTTATATTAAAATTTTGCAATTTGTTAAGTACGTACGAACAAAATTTACACGTATCTGTAAAAAAAAACACTATATATATGGAATCTTATATGCACATCAAAAAAAGTAGTTCACAGATTTTCAGGTTTCTTCCTATATAAAACTTATTGTCAACTACAAATATGCATTTCATGCCCAAAGTTGGCAAATGTAACTTCAACGTTTGAATTTGTGACACGCTAAAACAGGCCTTGCATGCTTTAGGTAATAATTTCAATACGCACGTATGTACGTACCACTATGTGTACATGAAGTACAAACTCTGTCGATATATTTTGATTTGCTGGTTTGTGCTTTCGTGTATCCTTGTGAGCTGGCACTGTTTCCTATTGAAATTGCTAATTCAAGCATTTTGTAGTACGTACTCAAGTAAACGTTTAGTACATAACTGATAAGATCACTTCGTAAACACCTTATTTATATACAATTAATTCACTGAAAAGTTTATTTTACATACATCTCATTCGAAAACAAATTTATTTCACCGATAGTTATCTCATCAAATAATTGATATCGGAGATTGCTGATACTATTATAGAGTTGGTTTGTCTTATTTTAATGGTTCTATGTCAAAGTTCCGAAAATCAAAATCCCGAAAGTTAATTATCGCGTCGCGTGATGCCGGGTTCCAGTATTCAAACCCAGCTTATTAGCATAGCGGACTTTCATCGTGATTGGCTAATTTTCGTAGATCATCCCGTGATATTGTGGAAATTTTATTGGTTAATCAAAATTTTAAAACTTAAATTAAATCGTTGAATAATGAATTTGAGAAAGCTAATGATATAAAAATAATTATACTTGTGGCAAATTTGACATTAGTAGAAGCCTTTATAACGAAATTTCGATAACTTTCAACCTAAAACTATACCCTTTCACAGATAAAATTTCAACAACTCG